GGGATTTCCAAATACTGGGATGATAATATGGCAATGAAGATAATCGCTATCATAATTTTATCTTAGTAGTCTTTTAGCCATCTATTCAGTGCCATTTGTAAATATACCGTGTTCATTTATAATTTCATGATGACAATGATTGTAGATGTAGCAAGGACAGATGAGGACAGTCCCATATAAAATCATAACCATGAAAATAATCTTACAAAACACAATAGTAGATAGTTTTAAAGTGATTTTTGTTATTTTTTTAGTCAAATCTCAATGTTTTTGTAGGAACTACCATAATTCAGTTTTAGACTGTATGAAAGGGAAGGATCACAGTGATTATTACCTAATGGTTCTCAAAACTCCACTTTCTAAGATAGTATTTTGGCAGCCTTCAGTTGTGTGGGCTTCAACTCCCAGAATTCTAGCCAGCATTCTAGAACCCTAGCCACATCTTAAAGTTGCCAAGATTGAAAAACAATGTTCTAATATGTGAAATATAAATTATGATGTGGTTGTTTTACCTAGGTCTCAAAATTTTCTTTAAAATATTTTACTTATAAACTAATGATATATATATATATATATATATATATATATATATATATATATATATATGTAGGTCTTTGGTTGTTCGGGTTTTCTCCCGCGTAAAATTGGAAGTGTCGGGAGAAAACCCGAACAACCAAAGACCTACATACAAATACCCGCGAAAACCTCAGAAAACATATATATATATAAAATAACGATCACCAAGAAAATAAATAAGAAAATAGAATTTAATCAACCTAGCTTTCATCGATAACTCTCGACATCGTCAGGGTTAAAAGGCAAACGCTGAGAGAAAACCTATATATGATCGTTAAACGCCTGTTTCCGGCTCCTGGAGCTTGTCACCAGCCCCAGCTGATCTAAATGCACCCCTTTTGTCAATGCACGTTCCTTTCCCGTTCCTTTCCTGCACTCCATCACGCACCATTCCACCGTTAACCCCAGGTTCGGATGGGGTCGGAGTACCCCCTCCTCCCTTATGTGCAATTCCTCCACCACTTCGAATACCACTCATTCTGTAGGGTAGGGAGGAGAGGGTATTCAAGTCTCTACCAATGCCCCCATATGCCCCAATCCCGTCTTGATCTGTCCTACTTATCCTTCAGGACTGCAATGCGAGTCTCTCCCCCAACCCCATGCTATTCTCCCTCTTGTCCTCATTCCCGTGCACCGTCCTGGTTGGCCTGTTGTTTGATCCAGCATCTCTTTCCCTGCACACACCCCAAACATTCTTTATCGCCGTTCCATTGATAGCACTTTGCCATTCGGTCTGGTGTTGGTGAGCACCATTCTCGTTCGACCCCAATCCCCTGTGTTTACCCTTTACGGAGTTCCTCTGTCGTGGCCACAGTTGTTGTTCAACCACATGTCCCCATGTCAAATGTACCAGAGGGGGGGTATCTCCCTTCATTCACTCATGATCGAGATACCATTACGTGTCTGACAGCGTCACTTATAGATGGCTCGTCTTTATCACCATCTTCAGACCTCACTATGTCCCGTCTGCCCCCCAATCCCCCTTTTAACCCTGATGATGTTGAGAGTTATGGACGAAAGCTAGGTTGATTAAATTCTATTTTCTTATTTATTCTCTTGGTGATCGTTATTTTAGCAATATGGACATACCCAAGAGTTGGATTTTTACTCATATTTCTAACTATATAAATACACACACACATACACACACACATACATACATACATACATATATATATATTAATAATCATGATCTTAATAAAAATAAAATGGAATAAAAAAGTTGGAACATTATAAGTTTAATTATAAGTTTATATAATTATAAATTATAAGTTTAATGGAGCATACAATAAAATGACCATGTTGCTCAAAAATCTTCTTTGCACTTTTCAAAAATAAAAAACAAAAATATTCAACAATATCCACAGTTTTTTGATTGAAAAATCAATACCAATTTTTATTCAGTTCCCATGCCTGAAAAATGTACAGTAGATCTCTTGTTAGATTCCAAATACTATACTATATACTGTAAGCCAAAAACATATATTCATCACACTCTCTTTCAAATTGTAATCAAGAGCAATTGCTCCAGACTGCATATTTGTAAAAGACCCAAAATACATACTGTATATTTTGGAAATTAACAAGATTACTGAGCAAGCCTCAAGAAAATTTCACTTAGATTTTCATGCATGAAACTCAGTTTTAACATACGGAAGATTTGTGATAGGTATGTGCACAAGGTAACACATGCATGATAAACTATATTAGAAACTTTCATGATGTGATAAAGTCAGCCTACGGATCTTGGATTTAAAAAATAATAGCTTTCTGCATCGCAGATTAAATTTTATGAAAAAAGATGTATTTTCTGCATATATATTTTGAAAATGATGCACAAGGGCACAGCTTCATAGAAAGTACAGGACATGATATCATCCAAATATAATCTATATTTTACTTGATCAAAGAGCTTTCAAGAAAAATAATTAAAAAGTAAAACCTTATGCAATGAAATTCAAAAGAAAAGATTGGAGACTGGTAGAAAGCATCTGACTCAGCTTCAAAGTCCTTCGGAGTGTGTATAATCAATGTTTGTCAATAACAGTTTTACTCCCTTTAATTTATCTTCTGTGGATATAAAGCATGTTGATATTAGTTACACTCCATATCTTCAATCTGATTTTTGATGATTCAGGAATATATTAAAATTCAGGCATCTCATTTTAGTCAAGGGCAAGGCACATAAAACTGTGTTTATTGCAGTCCTTTCACCTTTCTGTTTCTCTAACTAGAGAAAAAATATTTATAGAAACTTTTATGGAATTGAGAAACATACCATACCAGTATCAAAGTCCATATTTGCTCTAATTGTAAATTATTTTCTATATAATGATGTCAAAGGAAATTCAGTAGTTTTCTGTATTAAAACTTAAGTAATACTTCCATAAGTTAAATCATGGTAACTGGACTTCTTGTTTTGAGGGGGGTGAAACTTTTCACTTCTTATTCAAGTAGCTTCTTCAGTCTGAGCAAGTTGTTTAGGGGAACCACATATATGTTCTCCAGAATGGTTTCATTTCTCACCTAATCTATATCGAGATTGTTAGGTAAGTAGGCAGAGAGTTGTTGCTCCGAAATATTTTCTCTTAGGTGAGTTGTTAAGAGTAGCCTCCCTGGTGAATCTCTGAGGTGGTCTTGATCTCCCTGGAGGCTGACTTTCTGGACAAACCTTTGTCTCATAGTGTCGGTATCCAAATTGGGCCTTTATTAAATCAGTGTCTGGATCTAACAAAAGAATGGCAGAAAGCGCTGACAGTCAGAATCAACAAAGGAACCTATCATTTCTTACATGACTGATGTGTCAGGGAAGCTAAAAAGGATACTTGGAAAATAAAACATATCTGTGTCCATCAAACCCATCAACACACTGAGACAGAGGCTTATCCACCCTAAAGATCAGACACAGAAAAAATAAGAGGAATAATGTAATGCATGCAATCCACTGCAGTGAGGAGTGTTCAGAAAACTACATTGAAGAAACCAAGCAGCCTTTACACAAGAGGATAGCCCAGCACAGGAGCAGCAGCTCTACAGGACCAGAATCAGCAGTATATCTTTATTTAAAAGAAAAAGGACACTCTTTTGAGAACAATGATGTTCACATTTTGGATAGGGAAAGACAGATGGTTTGAGAGAGGAGTGAAGGAATCCATTTATACCAAAGTAGAAATCCTTCCCTTAATAGTGGTGGAAGCTTCTGAGACAACCTGTCTCCCATTTTTTATGCTGCTCTTGCATCAGTCCCAAGGAAGATCAAAACTGCTTCATAGATTCATCAGGGAGGTCACACTTAACAATCCACCTATATAAGGAACGGTTGCTAGAATTGGGTATGTCTAGTTTAACGAAGAGAAGGACAAGGGGGGACATGATAGCAGTATTCCAATATCTCAGGGGCTGCCATAAAGAAGAGGGAATTAAGCTATTTTCCAAAGCACCTGAAGGCAGGAGAAGAAGCAACGGGTGGAAACTAATCAAGGAGAGAAGCAACTAGAACTAAGGAGAAACTTCCTGACAGTGAGAACAATTAATCAGTGGAACAGCCTGCCTCCAGAAGCAGTAAATGCTCCAACACTGGAAGTTTTTAAGAAGAGACTGGACAGCCATTTGTCCAAAATGGTGTAGGGTTTCCTGCCCGAGCAGGGGGTTGGACTAGATGACCTCCAAGGTCCCTTCCAACTTTACTACTATTATTATTATTATTATAAAAGATTTAGGAGTAGCTACTCTTAATGCCTCTCTGCCTATACTCACCAAAGCCTATTCAGATTAGATGAAAAATTAAAGCACCTTAGTGGACATATATAGGGTCCCCTAATCAACTTGGACAGACTAAAGAAGCTACTTGGACAAGCAACTAAATGTTTCAAATTAAAAAGAAAATAAGTCCGGCTGACATGACTCAACTTCCACTCTGTCTGGGTAATAAAGAATCTTTATTGACATATTGCTTCCATAATGAATTATGCAATGTACCACCACAAATTTCTTCATGGAATGAAAGCAGCCAAAGAACAAATATCTGCCATTGAAATAACATTCCTCATTCTTCAGTAACCATATTAAATGTCTAAACAAAAAGGTAGGATATACAAGTCTCAAAGTAACAACCCATCCAATTTAAGTAGTACTATTTTATTTTGTTAAACTGCACCTAATCATAAATGTAATGATTAAGCAATGAACAGCATTTCAATTTGATCCAAATATATTTCACATTTTAAAAGCCAGTTTATTAAAACCGACATCACAAATAAATTAGATAAATATGGCAACTCTTTCCCTTAGCATAGCCCTCAGAAAAGACTTCTTAGAGGAAAACTTTCCATGCCAGTTTTACTTGCTAGTCCAGTGTGATCAAAATTGAAAGTGTGGTTAATAATTTGCAAAACCTGTTATTTAGCAATTTAGGTTGAGAAACAAGAAAAAAAAGAGAAGCAAGAAAAAGCAAATTAAGAAAGAGAAAGAAAATCTGTTTAAAATAAGAATGGTTAATTGGTTCATCTATTTGCCACTTCTCCCTCTGATTGTCTTTCTTGGAAATACTCCTGTTTCAGTAAGTATATTTATTTTAAAGCCTTGTTTAAAAGTGATAGATGAATTAATGTCATGCCTATATTAGAAAACATTATGTTCTACTACTCTATTGGTAATGCTAAGTATACTACTAGTAATCAGGAAATATATGTAGCCGAGAACTGTAAGGATTCAAATTTATTAATGTTTTTTGGAAATAGTCAATATAAAGGGGGAATGAAAAGCAACTTTTTGGGAGAAAAAAGACATGGCATAAACAAATATTCAACATTGGCCTTTTTATCTTCCTTCCCTTCCATATTTTCTTCTTTCAAAAATAGATGTAAATATTTCTTTTGTTAATCCATTTTCTACAAGCAAAATTTGGCTTTTGCTTAAGTAACAGGATGAGATTTTTGAAAATTTCCATTGTGCACTTAACGTAATTCTAACAGAGTATATCATTCATGTCAAAATTGTAAAAACAAAAATTTACCTCAATAAATATAAATAGAATACATAGAAAAATTATTTTCTTTAGCACTGATGAAATGCAAAAGCAGGAACATTTTTAATAAAACATATTTCTTTTTGTTATAATTGAACTGATCAAAATTTCTGAAAATAAATCCTAGAAGCAAGAATATCAAGTGTTCTGTGAGCTGATTATATTATTTGCCTCTAATGTTTCACTGCAAAATGAATTGCCAGTTTAAATATTCTGATTTTAATAAAACTGTGCATTTGTACTCTGTATGTGTTGACAGCTTTAATGTTGTTATACCTACCATCCTGAACATGAGTACGCTATACTACCCATGTTCAAGAGGATAAATATAATATTAAACCCTCCTCTTTGTTGTGTATAATGCTTGAAATAGATTACAACAGCAGGCACAAGTCCATTAGTCAATACTCTTAAATGCCTTTTAAAATAATTTATCAATGATACAAAAGGAAGTAAAAAATGTAGTGCATGCACATATATTTTAGTATATGTTCCTTACATTAATTATTATTTAACTATTAACTAATTAGGGTAAATTACAGGACACCATCCTCCTTTTTCTTTCATCAAATGTAGCAGTCTCTCATTCCAGATTTTGCAACCATTTTTGTTCTATTCGGTTAATGATTAGATTAAAGGAAATGAAGCTATAATTTTTGGCCCTACCTGGAACGGAAGCTGTAAGTTCCAAACAGAAGTCTGTAATAAAAAGAGCAAGGCAATACCCAAGCATTGTCACTCCTTCCCTTGAGCCGTGGCTTATACATTCTGCCAATTCAAGTAGCAATTAGTTCCCATGGGAGACAACTGAAAATTTCCACCTCACAAGGGCCTGGGTTTCTTTTGTAAAACTAAAATAAGGGAAGACACTCATTTTATGTGCATATGTACTGCCATGAACTCCCAAGGGGACAGAAATATACAGTAGCCATAAATAATATAATACAATATAATTATACAGAGTCCATGATGCCCACAACTTACTTATATGGAAATCATACCCACACTCTTTTCTTTGTACCGCTATCTGGAGGTCCATAACACTGCAAATGAATTCCTCATTTTGTAATGCAGTTCTTCAAAGGGTATGCAAAATGTATGCATTGAGGGAAATACTGTATGTTATGGAGCTTCATAATGAAAATAAATGTATTGGAAAAATTGAACATGTATGTACAATATGTGTACGTATAATGTATAATATATGCACGCGCTGTGTATTGCAAATGGTCTGTTTTTCACACATACAAAACTAAATAAAATATATTGTCAGATTGTAGTAATCTGTGACAAACATATTTTTCTGGGCTTGTCTTTAAAAAATATGAACAAATGCAAAAATAAGAGAGAATGAACCTATGGCTAGAAATGATATAGAGTAGAATAAAACATGTACTTTTTATGTTGGGACAATGCATACATTGGCCATCTAGTATGTAGTGTAAATCCAGAAGTTTCCTCTAGTACATCATGGAAATGTGACTTTAAACAACTAAAAATGAGACATCATTGAGATAGATTAGGAGGACTATATATATGTATCCTAGGCTTCACCCAATTTTAATAAGAAATAGGACCTAGATCAGAGACATATCTTTGAATGGAACTACATAATAATTGGATATAGACATACATTAAATAATACATTAAAGTTTAAATTATTATTTTTTAAAAAAAACTTGCATGAGTTTTCAAGCATCTGTTGTGTACATCTTTTGTGGTATTGCACTGTTAACCTTCAGCCTCCAGCAAGAAGAAGCAAGTTGCCAATTCAGCATTATTCATTGATCAAGGGAACCTCATATGCTCTCTTTTACAGGACAGGCAAGGGTGTGCCTGAAGCTACAGGATTGCAAAATGTCTTAGCTAGATGCATTACCAAATGTTGAACTGATCTCTTATGGAGGGGAAATTCCTTTCTGACCCCTGAAGGCATTCAGCATATGCCCCGAAGCGTGAGAGTTCTCTTACAGCTAAGTGCCTTCTTAATGGGTTTCCATAAGCTTTAACTTGAGCTATGTAGCCTGCGCTCTCAGCACAGATAGCAAAATGTTTGATAATGCAAAAATCTTATGTCAGACTCATAGGAAGGTCTGCCTTGTGAAACTGACTGAAGAGGCTTTGTTGCTCCTGTCTCGAAATCAGATCTATTCTGAAGAAGAAACCAAGTGTGTGTGCTCTCACTATCACATGAGATAAATGGAGAATTTCAGAATGTAGCATGAGATAGAATTTCAGATCTAGTAGTGAAACTACTCATAGGAATAATGGACTCATTTCACTTTGGTTCAAACTTCTATAGGCTTTTAAAAATTTAATTCTCTTCTTCGTGTTTGAGGGGGAAAATATCACTAAACCTCAAACCTGTAGCACATCACAAGAAAGAGAATGCTTGAAACTCCAGAGGATTGAAATTAAAAATTACAAACAAAGAGCTTTATGGCTGCATAACCAGAACTGGTGTCACTATGAAGCCAGGCAAAGTTAACTTCTTTTGAAAAGCATCAAGCAAAAAATATGTCTCTAAGTAGGCAGCAAATTGTGGAGAAAAATGGAAAGCATCATTTAACTCCAAGCCAAAAAAAACCTGGAGATTAATCACTCCTTGTCCTTTCATCAGTAGGGTTAGGAGTGATTGTTGAGAAACTAGAGTCATGTTATGTGGCTCTTGATTGCATTTAGATTAGAATTTCCATAACCAAGTGGTTTTCACCTGTACTGGACTTTCACTCCTGGATTTTTTCCCCCAGAGATGTCTATATATCCTTAGATTTCTTAATCCAACAATTGAAGAGAAGTCACATTTTTTTTCTCCTGGTATTTCCATTCTGGTTCCTTTATAAATCTTCTTGCTATGGGATATACCAGGATCTCTGATCAACTACAGCAAGGGGAGAAAAAAAAGGCTGGGGAGAATACTGATTGAAGAAACTGCACCTGCCTTCTCTTCGGCTTAAGGGTTATTTATGCTGCTCAGGTTTGAATCCAGCAATTCTAGGCTTGGGAAATCTAATATGCCTCTATTAGGGAGAATGAATCTATTTAAAAATATATAGATCTGTGGTGCAATTGTTTATGTGTAGAGTTGCTATTTTAATTCACTGGTGCTATAAGCAGTGTGAAACCAAAAGATCAACATATAAATTATTTAATGTAATCTCCTCTAATTGTTTCATTCCCAAGTATTTTCTGACAGCTCAAATTTATGTACATAAAGTTATTAATGTGTTTATTTGCATATGTAATAGATACAAATGAACAAATATGGGTTATTTCTCAGCAAAGTATTAGGTATAAAATTGCCACTTCAAGTTATTTTCTGTCTTCCAATATTTTAGATTTTTTTCACTGTTTTGCTAATAGGTTTTGCAATAAGAAGAAAGTTATTCGTTTGTCTTCCTGTTTTGGTAGGGTAAAGGTAGACACCACAAATCATAGTTTATTTCTGTAGTATAGAACGAAAGTAGATATAATTTCAAAACAGCCAAACTAACATAATTATATATAATTACATATAATTACACTTCAGTAAAAATTGGGTAGGAACAAGCAGACATGAATGGGCCAATTTCTGCACTGCAGAGTTTTCATTGTAAGTATTCCAGAGAATCAATGCTCCAAAACAAAGCAATTTCACCTAAAATTGTGGCCTGTTTCTAAACTACAAGTTTGACTGATGGGCTACAGATTTTCAGTTGAAAGTCATAACCATCTTAGCTCATTCAGTAACAAAGTCTCTAAGATGCTGTAAGAATATTTGCTGATTTTGACACAACAGTTTTCCATGGCTGTCCTGTAAGAAATAATGTTATTTGTTGTAGTTGTGTGTTGTATTTGTTATCATTATTATTAGTCACTCTTAGCAATACCTTCAGTCTAGTCTGGGGCATATCAGAGAATGTTTGGGAGCAAACTAGCATTCTACTAGTTGCTAAAGCATATTAGTGCAAGTGAATCTCAAAGCATTAAAACAGACACATCCCTTAGAAAGTTGATGCAACTGCTTTGAAGACTGTCCCTCATTATCTGTATATGCACACAATTGTTCAGTGCTTAGCTATATTGGCACTCCCAGAAGAAATGTGGTCTGTCCACGCATGGGCACATGCATACACATACATAAATATAAATATAGAGAACCAGAAACAAAGCAAGAACATGAGAGCACACAGTTGTTAACATACTTTGTAATTCCGTGCTTTCAAATGCTTTGCATAGCTCTCCTGTTAGACCAAGAACTCAGTATACTTTTGAAATTTTCCTGCAATTTGTAACCTGAATATTACTTGTTTCCTTTTTTTTCCAGAGGTAGCAAACATTCTCCAACAATTTTCGAGAATAGGACTTATCCTTGAAAAGAGCTCATACAATTAGTTTCCTTAAAAAAATTTCCTTGGATAATTGAGGTATGGGAAAATTTTCAGGGAAGCTGTGGTGACCTGAAGATAGCTCCATAGTGAACAGAGTTGACGAGCATGATGCAATGAAAAGTTGGCAAATGGACCAGCTTCTTGAATTTCCTCTCCAGATAAGGGGAGGATTCAGAATTGCCCACACACAGCACAGAAAATAGCTTCCCATGAAGAAACCATAAAACAGGGGTTTAGACCTCTGAGAGCCAATGGGATTATCACCTTTACCTAAGCCATGCTTTTGAGCCTTCAAAAGGACACTGGATTCACATATTTCATTTCTTAATAGACTTTAGAAATTGTTGTTCACTGCTTGTTGGACAGTAAGAACCTGCATACTGGAAAGTTTCATTTCATCGGGTAAATCTTTTTCAATCCTTAATGAAAGAAGTTTTATACAAGTTTAGAGATTTGAAAAACAATTTCTTTAATAGTAGCAAAAGGGTGATTAAAACATTGACTTTGGAAAGTTACAAACTAAGGACCAGAATTTGAAATCAGATTTTGAAACTAATTCCAAGAATTTTTCCGGTAGGAAAATATAGCTGTTTGGGGGGAAAATAAATATTTTTAAATCAAGTATAAGAAATTTTCCTGTGGAAAAATGTTGTTGATCAGAAAAAATAAGTGACAAGATGGAATTTTGAAAACTGAATCCTAGAGGAAAGCAGAAAGAATTAAAAGATTATAATGAAAGGAAAAGAGAAAAATTAATACAAAATAGAACAAATTATTCTAATAGATCAAATTTAAGCATATTTGGGACCAATTCACTCAGAGGTTATTTTTAAGATCATCTGTTATTAACAAGACTGCTTCTGAGCCTGACTGAAATGTGGATTTAAAAAGAATGCTATAGATAAAGATATTATACTAGATATACAGGTGAAACCAGACAATATCTTAACAATTAAAAGAGATATACAAATAACAAACTGAAGAGTGACTTGGACATTTTTTTTTCATTTTACATTTACAAAAAGAATCGTTTTAAAGGGCTTCTGAGAAGCAACATAGATACAATGGAAAGAAATCAAGCCCTACACTCTATTAAAAAGGAATAGAAATCACGATCTCTAAATCTAAAGATTTCTAAAAATAAAACAAAGAAATATAAAATGAAATTATTTAATGGGGGTTAAAATATATATATATATATATATATATATATATATATATATATATATATATATATATATACTTGACAGATAAAAGACAATCACCAGGAAGTAAAAACAATCAAGTTTTTAATAAATAACCGAGCTTTCGATAGCTATACTACTGCCATCATCGTCAGGGTGTAAAAGCCAGGGTGGGATTCTTTGTTTTATTTTTAGAGAAAGTAATTATGCTAAAAAAAGGAAAGGAAAAGATTAAAATATATAGGTTATTATTTCTGGTAACTCTTAACGGACTTTTGTTGACTAGATTTAAATGTTGAAGTTTTAAGAATCTGTTTATAAATAAGGAATGAGACGGGTTGAAGGATTTTATTGTAGTAGTAGTAGTAATAGTAGTAAAGATGATAAGCTACTGAAATTATATGTATTGGTCATGATGGAGAGGGAGATTATTTCTATAGATACCTTTTTTTCTTTTTTAAAATTTATAAAGTGTTGCCCCTTTTTTGGACTTTTATTTATTTTCTTTTAATTGAACTTTTATTCTTTTATATTTGCTTTAGTTTTCATCTTTTTTAAATCTCTATAGTTGTAAACTCGAATAAAATTAATACAAGCAAGGATAATTGAAATCTGGGAAGCCAAAGAAAGTCTAACTAACTGCAGATATGACTGTACACAAGACATGGCATCCTCATCTGCACTCCTGACCACCTTATCACTAAATCAGTTCCAGCAAATCATGGTCCATCTATAAGAAATTTCTGAAATTCTCTTCTCTTTTGAAATAAGTTGTAAACCAAATTCTCTTCAGCAAGTATTTATGATAATTGCAGGAAAACATATCTATTTGACACAAAAACACATTTCAAGTTTTCCAAGCAGTGGAAGTTGCAATTTTTCTCTTCTATGAGTCCAGCCACTAGCAAACTTCTTACTCTCCATCATTCCTTATAAGCTTGACACTTCCATGAGGCACTGCTAGTCCATTTATAGCTGTTATGAGACAGAATTATATTCTGATTTTATCCATAAAAATGACTAATTTACATTTGCTATAACAGGTTTCACATTGATTTTAAAAGTATTTTGTTAAGCGAGGATTCTGAAAAGATTTCCTAAGACAAAAATTGCCTCTGCTTCTCATACACAACTAGCAAAGTTGGCTTTTTAATACTTCTATTCATTCTTGACCATCAAAACCACTTGGAAAAGAAATATCAGTGCATAGTGTGGTACTCCCTTAATAGGTCAAGCCCTCCATCTTCTGGCAACATAGAATATAGCAGCCTAAAGAATGGAGAACAGAATAAAAGGAGGCTGGTTTTACTTTTATGCTTATATCACTTTTGTACCTATTTAATATGAGTGGGCAAAGCATTAGATAAGAATCTTTTACAAAGTGTGCTGGCACAAGCAAAGCATCTGTCCTTTAAGCTTTAAAGCAGCTGCATCCTCTGGAAAGCTTGGCAAGCTCATCTGAAAGCTATCTCCTAAAGACAGAAGCATTTTCATAGGGATCACCAAGGAAACTCTTTGCATGCATCAACATGTTCTTTGCACAGCTCTACAATAGAATTGACAATTGCTGACAATATTCTCTGAGTGTATTGAGTATACAGCAGAACTAGATTCCCCTGAAATATGTTAACCTAATAATTAATTTTGATCCCTATGTGTTCCTGGCAGATTAAACGTTACAGATGGTGCCAGAAAACAAATCAGTGGGGATCATTGAGATTTAGGAAAAATTTAAAAGTAATAGAGCTTAACTTCACCAATGGCAATATTCCACTGGCATATATTCTGAAAGAAAAAAAGAAGCAAATAGTTTATTCCTTCCTATTTTTTAAGGAGGTGCCTGCCAACCAGCAGTTATTTATTTATACATATGCATACACATATACAATTGATTTTTATTCTGCTTTATTACTTCACTAGCAACTCAAAAGGGTGGACATAGCTAATACTCCTCCTGTGTTCCACATAATAACCCTGTGAGATGAGGTGGGCTGAGAGAAAATGAGTAGCCTATTTACAGTGTGTTAGGAATGGGTAGCAGATTATATCTCTCCATTCCTGCACTCAGAGACACTGAGTAACCTCTTCAGGAGATGAAGGAAGCAGAAGTGTGGATCTGTCCAGAATAAAAGACAGGAAAGGTGCCAATGTATTATAGAGTTACTTCTGAGACAACTCTTTTGTTTATCCCCATAATTCAAAATGATTGTACAACATCATGCTACTTTCTAATTATTATTGTTGTTGTTGTTGTTTTTACCAAAGTGCAACACAAATATGAAAGTCATGGCATAATAACTCACAACATAATAGTCAAATTTAAACAACTAGATAGAACTAACCTAATAAACATAATGTTATTTAACCTTAACTCTGTATTGAAAGTGTACATTGACATGCCTAATTAAAATGTTTTCAGTTAATAGGAAAAAGTGTTTATAAAAGACTTAACTAAATATGACATTATAGTTGCTAGTTGAAATATATATTATTTTTAACTATACAGTGGATTTATTCTAAAGGGGATTGAGAGTACTGAAACTGCTTTTTTTTAAAAAAAAGAATCTGCTTTATTAATAGCAATAGCAGTAGCACAGACTTACATACCACTTCACAGTGCTTAACAGAGTTTACAGAGTCAGCATATTGCCCCCAACAATCTGGGTCCTCATTTTACCAATCTTGAGCTGGTCAGAATTGAACTCCTGGCATTGGAAATGCAGAATTAGCGAGCAATACTGCATTCTAATCACTGCGCCACCATGGGTCTTGGTTGTCAGATAGCATTTATATCTGATTTGTCTTATTACAAAGTCTCATATCTCTCTCTCTCTCTCTCTCTCTCTCTCTCTCTCTCTCTCTCTCTCTCTCTCTCTCTCTCTCTCTCTCTCTCTCTCTCTCGTTTCAGCATTCTGAGATTATATCATCATGGTTCCGCCAACAACCTGGTAAACAGTATGCTTTTTAATGTGTTCTTTATGACAGATGCTTCATAATATTTACAGTGTTAAAATATGGAGGGAATAATTAGGACAATGTGGTCCTTTCAGAGACTCTTTTGCTTTGAGAAAAATTACAGTGAAGGTGTATTCTGTGCATTCAATATATGGCTGCACTAAATTTTGACAAAACATGATCATCTCATGGCTATGAGCAGTTGGCTTGTAGAATATAGCTCTAATTTTATTGGGCAAGAACCTTAAATCACACTTGCCTTTAAGTAGATAAGCATGTCTCTGATTCCAGTAGAATAACTTGTGTGACATCATATGGAAAATTAAACCTCCATTCAGATACATTTTTTGGTAGAAATCATGCCCAATAACTACCATGGAATGTATTGGTAGGTTGTTGATCTTGCTATATTGAAGTAGAGAGAGAAGCAGCCTGGAATTAAGGAGAAACTTCCTTAAGGGCAATTAACCAGTGGAATAGCTTTCCTTCAGAAATCGTGGGTGCTCCATCACTTAAGAAGAGACTAAATAGTCACTTGTCTGAAATGGTATAGGTTGTCTTGCTTGAGCACGGGCCTGGACTAGAAGACCTTCAAGGTCCCTTCCAGCTCTATTCTATTCTAATTCTAGTTGTTAATTTATCATCAGCAGTGAAAAAAACAGGATTAATTATGAGATTTTGTTCGCTTCCTATTATAGAATGATTATAATATAGAAATCCTGATCAAAAGCAATATTTTATATATTTATATACAAATATGAAAAGCTTTGCTATGCAAAATGATTAATGTAGAAATGGGTAGTCTGTATTATGATGTTATAAGTATAAATATGTGCATGGGAAAATAATCTTTTTTGGGCGCTTCCATGGATAGAAAAGGCTGTAATATAAAAGTTGTAAAGTATTTTCTACATGGAACATTTTATTAGTTTTTGAATAATGTTAGCCATTGTTTCATGTATGTTCTTTAAAAAAGCATCACCATACATTTTATTTTTATGGATTCAAATAATACAAAGAATATTGTAACTGGATTGTTATGTGTTGATGTATCATTAACATTTAACATTTTCAAATGTTTGAGAAGTCTGTTCAGTTTTTTATTTAATTTACTGAAAGTTCCAAGAACTGTCAATTTGTAATCCAGCTTTTCCATGCCACCCTTTGCCACATTGTCCTATGACCTTTTGCAAGGAGAGAGTATAGAGAATTGATAAGGGTAGAAGGCATCTGTTTCTTTATTCTGCCAGCAGAAATACTTTTCTGCATCAGAAGTATTCCATAAACAGGACCAAAAGTTTGTATGATTAAGCAAGATCTTTAATATTTGGATCTGGCTGATATATCATAATGTGTAATCAAATATATTAAATAATGATGTCTCTGAAATGTAAGTTAATTTATTAGCCAAATATAAAATTTGAATACAGTAAATGATTGTGTAGCCTTTGTAACTGCTGTAACTGTTCTCTAATGATTAAAAAAATAGGATTCAGAAAAAAACTAAATCATGGAATTCCTATATAATGTAAGTGATCCTTCTTGGTTTCTCCTAAGATGGAAGTGGGCCTGTTCAGGCAGATTCATAGACTTATAATAGTTGATTATTATACCCAACCTTAGTAGTAAAGATAGTCCTCAACTTACAACACAACTGAGACCAAAATTTCCATTGCTAAACAAAGCATGTTTATCACCTTTTTTGCCATGATGGTTAAGCAAATCAATGCAACTGTTAAGTGAATATGTCTGCCCTTACTGATATTCTATGTTGGAAGCCAGCAGGGAAGGTTGCAAATGGTGATCATATGTCCCCAGAATGCTTCAACCATCGTAAGTATATGCCACGTGCCAAGCACCCAGATTTTGACTATGTGACCATGGGGATGCTTCAATGCTCCTAAGTGCAAAAACAGGTTGTAAGTCCCTTTTTTCTGTGCCATTATAACTTTTTACAATCGCTAAACAAATGGCTGTAAGTTGAGAACTACCCGTATATTGCCCAACTTAAAGGGGTAAAGGTAAATGTTGTTAGATCATTGAAATCTATTAACATTAGCAAATCCTAAAGATTAGGATGATTAGGATTTAGTTTGTCATCTAAGACTATTAACATATAGTCAGAATGCTTGCCTCTGTTAGATGTGAATATATTACCATTCACTATTTTTCAAAAGGAAGGGTTTTTTTGAGTTTTGAACTTAAAGCAAGTTTCCATCACAGCAGCACAAGATGTGCAAAAAGTAAAAACTGTGATCAAAAGCTATTAGTACTGAATATTTTGTCTGCCTATGTTAGAAAATGGCCTTTTAAAAGATAACTGGAGAAGTTCAAGTTATTTGTTGCTAGAAATGTAAGATACCAGGCAAAATCCATTTTGAACCTACATAGATTCATATTTAGGTCAGTTTACCTCAAATAAAGAAGGAAAGTTGGCAAGTATATATAATCATATTATATAAATCCTATGTTGGGATTTTTCTGGTCTTTTGGCCAGCAAGCTCCCTACTGATGCTTAATCTTCACTTGGATTCACAGCTGATAGAAATTTTATAACTGCCAAGTAGATATTTTTGCAATTATTCCATATGGCACCTGAGAAAGCATGGTCAGCTGTGGTTTGGCTACTCTTCTAATAGATATGGAAGTAATTTTTATCATGCCACAAAACATGTTCTGGGAGAAAATATTGCATGGATATGATCAGTGGTTGGATTCAGCTGGATCGCACCAATTTGGTAGAATTAGTAGCTAATTTTTTGTAGCCCAGGCCCAGAATGGGCTTCCGGAAGCGGCATCCAACACAGAGAACTGGTTGTTCACATATTTGAATCCCACCACTGGTTATAATGAATAAATTACTAGTTGTACCATACAAAGATTTTGCAACAATAGATACATGAAATATATAGAATATTTTCCTCAATAATTGACATAGAGCTTACTTTTATTTTTCATACTAGATAAAAATATATACTTTTTTATACTGACAAATCCTGAAAAAAGTATATAATGCTGCATATGATCAATCCTTTAAAATTGAGATAGATATTACGTATAGGGTCAAATTTATAACCATATACATACCAAGTGGTTGGTGAAGATCGGCTAGGACAGTATAACAACTTGAGTTCTATTATTTCCACATAAATACTGGAGCAAACATAGCAGATATATTGTCCTCAGCAAGCTTTAAAAAAAAATTAAGTCTAAATCAAATAATTAAAAAATAGTCATATAAAAATGATCATCAGACACAAAAGAAATAATACTTGCAACCTATTTTGAAAGAGATATTTTGAATAGATCTTGGTGGTTCACATAATGTCACTTGATTCCTAATAGTTGATTAGGAACAATGAACAAACTGAGCTAACAATAATCATAAGAAGACATCCATGGGCATGATGGGGTATTGAGAAATTATAAAGATGGTTCCATCTATTATTTAGAAAAAGGGGGGAAACTATTTCTTTTATACAGTATTTGACACAGAGATGGGAAAAGTACATAAAAAGCCAAAGATACCATTATTACTACAAAGTTTAATAAATAAACAGAGAAGTTCTAACTTTTGCAAAATAATCCCACATACTGTCAGGTTGAAATATGAACTCCTTTCCTTTTTTATTACCTTGCATTAAACTTTATTTGCTCTGTGGAGACAATAGCCCTATCTTGGAATGAGTTCCTTATCCCTCAGCCTGGTGTGCAGTCCTGCAGCACTTTCATATTGCAAAGGCTTGACTCTTGAGAAATAATGAGTGAATAAAAGAAGTCTTGACTTGACATAACGATAAATGAGGTGATTTTTTTTTTTTTACCGTCAAGGAACCAGTTTTGGTCCATAGAAAAAAGAAGTTTCTATTTTAATATGGAATATAAAGCATTCATTGTACAAAAAAGTGTTTTTCATCAGAAGCAAAAGAAGAACAAAGATAAAGGCAGCAATCCAATGAATGAGTTGAGAAAACTAAGATAATGCCGTTGATAAGCAGTTCAAGGCGACCCATTGTTCACCAGGCCATCGGCCCAGCCCTAGGGGAGAGCTTTTAAAAGTATCCCTGTATGCATTTTCACTCTCCTCATTACCATACCTGCTCTTTGAAACTCACCAGTGGATCCAACAAACTCCTCTGACACCTGCCGGAAAGAGCGGATGACCCATCTTAATCAACTACTTCTGTGAAAAGTCTATGGAAAGAACTGTGTCCCATCTTTACTTTGCTATTCAGAAAGCTATTTGTCAATGGGTATCCTGAGAGCCATTGCTATGAACAAAGATCTGTTTCTGTGCACTGGAAATGTGGCACCATGATCAAAGTTAAGGAGAATCTCCTACTTGTTTCCTTTGTTCGTGAATATGTCCCTTCTCTTATATGGCTACTAACACCAGAATAATTACCTGTACTTTATCCAGTACTAGTTTGAATGTAATGAAATGATTCCAGCAGCGCTCTGAATGGAATTGGGATTTTGAAGCAGTCTATTTACTTTTAACAAGGTATTTCTCCTACCTCGAAGACCATAACAAATGTTGCAGACACATCACAGTATTATATAGGAGCAGTCCATAGATATCAAGGGGAAAAAATAAACTGTCTCGTAAAAGGATTTTGAACAATGCCAGTTTGGATTAAAAGTTGAGATACAGGCCTGAAATGCTACAATAAACAGAACATTTGTCATTGACTATGTTTAGAATGTCAACTACTTCCTAAAACAGAGTATGTATTATTCCTACAAAAATATATACTAATCTAATTTTTTAAAATAAATTTTAAACACTTTCTATATGTGTTGAAATGTCATTATTAACAGTGGTGGGATTCAAATAGGTGAACAACTGGTTCTTTATGTGGCTGCCACTTCTGGAAGTCCATTTTGGGCCTGGGCAACAAAAAATTAACTACCGGTTCTGCCAAAGTGGTGCAAACTGGCTGAATGCCACTACTGATTATGAATCTTTTCTGAACAAGTTTTTTTATATCTGAGGTATAACACCAAAGTTTTCAGAAAGCCAAGTGGCAAATGCATCTAATGCCTATAGATGTGGCAAATGCATCTAATGCCTATAGAGAACTATTCTCAAGTCGAAATGAAAATCATGCACATTCTTCATCAAGAATATTTTTTCTATTGGACAATCCAGTTTACTATTTTGTCCATAATATAATGTGAACTACAAAGGGCACATAAGACTGATCAATAAAGAAAATACAGTTCAATATATCAATACAAAATATTCCAGGAATATTTGTGCCCAGGAAGCTGGAAGTTTTTGTTATTTACCTTGTTGTATAATATCAGATTTTTCATCTATTTGCAATGACATTCAGTTAAATACAACTTCCTTAACAGCATATTAGGCTCATGCCTTTTACAGTACTGTGTGATCGTTTTTTCTAAATATACAATAGGATTGTAATCAAAATATTACCCTGCATGAAACATGCTGGGCGATCTATGCTAAGTCATTCCATAAGATTTCAACTCTTTGTAAAATCTGTTGTGAAGGTAAAATGAATTAAAGATTAATTAATGATCCAGACAAAATCTTCAGAGATTATCATTATTTCCTGGTTGAAGTTATTTATTTATTATATTTATATCCAAGGACTAAAACTATGCCCCATGGTGTTTTGTTTTTTGCAGTACATTACACAAAGGAATCGGAATGTGTTGATGATCACTATGCTTATTCTATAATGTTGTCTAGTTTAATTTCGCCAGATCAATATATTTGCTACACTAAACAACTTTGAATACTACTTTTCATTCATGTTATAGTCTGTTTTGTTTCTGATATATCTGCAGATTCAGCTGATGACTATGACGCTGAATACAGCACCGACTATATAGAGCCAGCAGGGAGTGAAATCAGATTTAGTTTCTTTGACTCTGATTGGATATATGAATTCTTCACTCATGATGGTACTTCATTATACTTATTATAAGATGGAGAAACAGCATATGGGAAGTGAAAGAAAGTAATTCAGTTTTTAGATCAACGTAGAACTGGGGAAAATTGAGAAAACTGTAACTGCTTTATAAACCTGCCATTGCATCACTGTTCTGGTTGAAAAACCTTTCAATAAAAATGGTACAGATTAAAAAATTTGAAAAATTAAACTTCAGATTTATTTCTCTGTGCTAGTAAATCCCTGCCAGACAAACCCATGTCAGAATAATGGAATCTGTAAAAGGAACAGAAACAGCTATATCTGTACCTGCCCTGAACCATACACAGGATCGAAGTGTGACCGTGGTAAGACACATCTTGATTTTGTCACTACTATTACATAAAGCTGAAAAATGTAGATACTGTTATAAATCATACAGTTTACAAAATATAAAATAGACTTATTCACATCCCATTTTAAAAGTCAGCTGGAAATTTACAAGGACTTTCAAGTTTAAAACTATAATTTTAAGTTCTGTATACTTTGTCACTTTAAATGAATTAAGAATTCATTATAATTTCCATTCCTGAATACACACAATAAATTGTATGCATATTTTTGTTGAATATATTTCTTTCTAAAAAAAAACCAAATTCTGGACAAGAAGAATTCAATCAAGTGCAAATGTATGATCCTAGCATGAATGGAATAGTTTCATTTTGCATGCTAAGTATTCACATGTGCATTTTCTTTCAAACAAGAATTCTGAAAACTGAGATTGATTCAAGCATGGATGATAAGAGAAATTAGTTTACTACAAGGAAAAAAATCCAAAAACAATCTCCTAGAGGTAAAATATACTCACAAGAATAGAAAATATCCTAGTGTATTCAAAAGATTATTTTCCATTCCGAGGCATAGAGTATAATAACAATGGAACATAGGACGGATACTTGAGAAAAAGATTTAATTCTGAAATAGAATAAAATAGAATATAAAATAGTAGTTTCAATTCTGACTGTTATTTTACCAATAACAAAGTTTAAAGCAGAAGAAAGGAAATGTAAGAGCTTACTGCAATTATCCAAGAACAATATACCGGTACTAAGGAGTTAGAAAACAATTGCGGCCATTTTACTTAATTCTCATTACATTTTAGAATCATTTGGAAAAAGTGAATAAAGTACATAAAAGGTAAACAATATGAATGCACCAAGCGATCTTTAGGTGTAGCTGAGTATTTATATATGGAAGTCTTCTGATATTCCAATACAACAACAGCTAAACGTAGAGTATAAATATGAATATTTTCAGTTATTAGACCAAATATCTTCAGTTTAAGTTAAACAAAGTTAATAGCAATATCATATAGCTGTAGTAGTGTAAACTTTAGGAGAAAATATTTAAAATTGAATATTTTATGAAGAATTGCTTTAAATCAAATACCTGAAGTATAACTATAAAATATAGCATTCTTAAATATTAGCCAATATTAATCAAATCAAAATGATAATGAAGCACTGCAGAGATCATTCAAGAACTTGCTAAATGTTACAAAATAAGTACATCATGGAACGTATTGCAGATAATTAGTGAAATAAAATAGAAATTAATCCCATAAATGAAGTGCCTATATATTGGCTCAAAATAGATATAAGAAGTAAGTATAGTATATTAACATAATTATGAGGATGTAATAATTTCATCAAGTGAGTTTATTTTTAGAAAAGTAAGGATGGTATTTCATAAAATTATTTAATTGTACCTATGAGTTTATGTATTTATTTAACTGTATCTATGTATTTATGAACCAATTCATAAAACATGAAAAGACTATAGTCAGAATGGTACCAAAACAATGTAGTCATATAAATCAGTTGTGTTCTAAATGAAGGCATTAAACTTTATATATTTTAGCTATAATAATAGATAAATACATTTATTAAAGATGTCAGTTCATGTACAAACCAAGGATGCCCAGTGAGTACATTATTAAATTAAGCAGTTTTTAAACACAAAACTATTACACATATTTTAATACTTACATTTACCTCCATTATTTACATTTGACAACTGTAAAGCATTTGACTGCTTAGAATGGGATTTTTTTTTTCAAAATTAATCCATTGAATAAATTGTAGTAGGATAAGGACATTTATATGTGGAAGGTATAACAACCTAATCTCAGTCCCACTAGATAAGGGGTGTCAAACTGCCAGCTCATGGGCCGTATACATCACGAGGAAACCGCACCCACCCCATTGCCAACAATGGGGAAAAAGTTCTGATACGTCACACGACATCACGTGATGTCAGAAGTTTGACATGTCTGCACTAGATAGATAGAGCATGAAATCAATTTCAGTTTATTGAGACTATGTATAGTAACAGAATCTTGCAAATGTGATTGTGCTGTACATCCTTCACCTTCTTATATTTCAATTAATTAGGGAAGCATCTACCTGATTTACTTTTGAATGTTATCTTGTTTTGGGATATAAAAAATGTTTCAGCTCCTTTTGCTTAGGTAATGATACCTACCTATTTCCACCATGCTCACCTTCCTTACTCTTTGTACCTTTAATGCCAAAAAAATTGTATATGATCATGACTGTCTGATCATTAATCTGTAAAGGAGCATAACATTTAACTGTTAAAAATAACTAAATAATAATAATTTGAAATTATACCATGATGCGGTGGCTTTAACATTAATTAGTGATTGGGTAAATTTAACAAATTTGGAGATACTCCATCTGGAGGGATGGGATTTACTTTTCGGTTGGCATGCCTATTTAATATTTAATAAGAAAGTGGATAGGGTTTTTAAATCTCATATTATAAGAACTTCTTTACTTAGGGTTTGGAGAAAATATTATAAAAGTGATTTTAAAATACCACTATGGGCTATACCTTGGCATGCGATAGAGGGCATAAGGAGAGGTGTTAAAATGGATATGGTGTCTTATACACAATTACTTAGATGGGATGGACATAACTGGCAGTTAAAATTATTGGAAGAGTTAGTACATGAAAATATTACTTATTCTTGGTTTCAATATAGACAATTAGCAGATAGATGGAAGTTGGATCGTAAGGTGGGTTTTCTTAGAGAAGATGAAAATCTTTTTAAGCAAGTAAAGGATCAAAGACAAACCCATATTAAGAGAATTTATGGGGTTCTAGTGGAACTGGATTCAGAATCAGAATTAATTAAAGATTGTATGATTAAATGGGCGCAGAATTTTGGAGAACCAGTTCCACTGGATATCTGGGAAATTATCTGGGTGAGGAATGTTAAATTTACACAAGCCCAGAATTTAAGGAAGAATTTTTATAAAATGTTTTATAGATGGCACCTTGATCCACAAAAAAATGTCTCTCATGTATCCTGACCTACAGCCTAAATGTTGGAGATGTGGTTGTTTGGACGCCACCTATTATCATATTTGGCGGTCGTGTAAAAATATAAAAGCTTTTTGGATTAAGATATGGTGGAATATTCAGAGAATCTTTAGAAAGAGGGTAAAATTTACTCCACAATTATTTTTGTTAGGTATAGTTACTGACTGCGATGCAAAGGAGGTTATATTGATGTTGAATTTGATCACAGCCGCAAGGTTGTTAGTAGGACAATACTGGAAGAAGAAATCTTTGCCTACCTTGCAGGAGTGGTTTTTTAAAGTATCTTATTTGGCGGAAATGGCAAAGATTTCGGCTTTCTTAAAAGAACAATCGCAAGAGAAATTTTTTGCTATTTGGGACAAATGGATAAAGTTTATACAATTTAAATTGGATATAAAAAAATATTATTTAGCTTTTTTATAATATTTATATATATATATATATATATATATATATATATATATATATATATATATATATATATTCTATTGTTAATCTTTCTTTTTTCTTTTTTTTCTTTTTATATAATTTTTTTAACTTTTTAAATTAAGCCTATATTCTGCTCTGGGAAGCTCCGGGGGGGGGAGGGTGTGGGTGGTTTGGGGAGGGTTGGGGGAGGTTTGTTTTGTCTTGTTTAATCCTGTTTTTTTTGTTGTTGTATTGTTGTTTTCTGTTTTTTGTAAAAACTTTTAAAAATTTTTCAATAAAAAAAAAACTAAATAATAAAATAAATGAAAACAAAATGAATTAACTGTGGAATATCTGTATCCAGCTTTTCTAGCCTCTTGTATTGCAGATACAATACCAGACATGTCAAACTTGTGATGTCATGCGACGTCACAAAACGTATCAGACAGTTTTGCCATTGCTGACAATGGGATGGACGCAGCTTCCGTGTGACGCATCCAACCCATGAGCTGGCAGTTTGACACCTGTGTTCTAGACCTTGACCATGCTAGCTTGGAATGCTGGGACTTCCCAATTTAAAATATTTTCTTTTTTAAACAATTTTGTGATAATTGTTTCAAACGCCGTTTGAAACAATTATATATAATAATTAATACTACATGGTAATTTTTTATAATATGAAGATAAGCCATACAAATTCATATTATTTATGTGTAGAACAAATAGGAAATGTTTAAAATACAACTGTGTATTGGTATTTATAGTACTGTAATGTTGCTATTTTCCTCCAGGTCCATGAGCATTTCCATATCCATAGGGTGATGAAAGAATAGGAATTGTATGATTGTTTACTGTTTTACAACTCTGTAACTGTAACTTTCACCAGGAATTAGAATACAATTGTGTATCTCCATTGTTAATCCTTGTACTACATAAAGTCTGCTTTTAGCAAATATCCAAAACTTGAAAAATCTACCTAACTTTCTTGCTCTTTTTACTGTTATTATATACCACAGTGAAAAATACATGCCAAAGAATCAGCTGCAATCAAGGAGAATGTCTGATTATGTTAAGAGCACCTTATTATCAATGCAGTTGTAGATACCCTTATAAACCACCATTATGTAATAAAGGTGAGACAAATTGTTGTTGTCATACCAGTAACTAATTTCTAGGATTACTTCTACTACTGCTGCATTTTATGGATTATGCAAAGAAAAATCACACCCGTTTTTCTCTAAATTATCCTCTAAAATCAAATCTTTTCACTTTATTTCTTAAATGCAAACAATATTCAGGACAGCCTGCATAGATTTATTTTAATGGACCTGTAGACATTAGACTGGGAAGACTTTACATTTTCCCATATTAAATCTGCTTATCCTTCTGTGTTTTATATATATATAATTGTTTGAACAAGCTATCAATCTCATTTAAATACAATATTCTAATTAATTCTTGAATACTAGCATCCTCAGCTTGTCGACCAAATCCTTGTAAAAATGGAGGCACCTGTCAGAAGCATCGCTTAAGGTTTAGATTCAGCTGCAACTGCCCTGAAGGTTTCAGAGGAAAATTTTGTGAACTAGGTAAGAGAATTATCTGTGTTTGGCAACGATGGCATAACTAGTATAGGGGTTGTGGTAGATAAATCAGCCTTTGATCATTCTAATTGTGTGTTAGTAATTTACAAAGAACTAATTAATATTCTTTGTATTGTACACTTTTATATATAAAACTGATTTGAACTCCATTGTGATCATCATTGTCATGTTGTAAGCAGTAGATTCAGATTATCCAACTTAGGTATTTTTGATAAAATCTAAACTGGGTGGAATGCAGATTCTTGTGAAATGACATTAATTTATATAAGAATGGAGAGGGGGAAAAATGCAAGAACAGGCCGAAATAAAACAAAAAGATCTTCAAAACATGACAATCTTGTTGTAGGAACTGAAGACTGCTTTGAAGAAAATGGCCACGCATACAGAGGAAATGTTAGTCAAACAATCCTCCAAAAAAGATGCCTTCACTGGAATTCTCATTTTCTTTTGGACAGTAGTTACAACGCATTTATGGAACATGCTGACTATTATGGCCTTGGTGATCATAACTTCTGCAGGTATTCCATGTATACATGCAAACACAATTCCACGAATATCATTGTTATTTATACCCCCAATTTCAAATCAAATATTACTAAATAATGAATAGTCATTGACTATGTTCTGAGGACATCATTAACTCAGCCATTAATAAGCTTTTTACCCCCACAAAAAACCCCAATTCACAAAGTATTCACTTATAACAGGGGTGTCAAACTTGCAACATCACATGATGTGTCGCGACATATTGTGACTTTTTTGCCATTGCCAGCAATGGGGTAGGTGCACTTTCGCTATGATGTATCCGGCTCGCGGGCCAGCAGTTTGACACCCGACTTATAAGATGACAGGCTCTTTACCTCTCCCTAGTCCCTTGGAATGCTCTCCATTTTTTCTGTCTCCTTTTTCTAGAAACTGTTACCATTTTTAAATTTAAGAATGGATGTTAAGCCTGACAGTTCGCAATTTCATTTAAAATCAGTTGAGATGCCAAAAGAACCTGATGGTTGACAAGTGAGGCTACCTTGATACCACATTGTATACCCCCTGTGTCAGTATAATGCAGGTTAGGTTGTTCCTATTATCAGTGATGAAATAACAGTACAATAGATCAGTACAATTAACTCGTTGTTTACCGAAAAAGATCAGAAATATTTGAGCTCACCATAGAAATAATTGCTACTTTGGGGTAATATTCTTGATACCCGAATATACTTTCCTAAAGAATGAATGCTGACAGCACATCTATAAAAGCATAAAAATTAAGCTTAGACATTGGCACAATATTATTAGTAGGTAAGTACATTAAACTGAGAAGATGCCATTGTTAATCATGTTTGTCTTCTTGGTTTCTGAATGACTTGATATTTCAGTGTGAACATTGTTCAATTCCAGTGCTTATCACTTCTTCAATTAATAACTTCTTTTCTGAAGATCCATTCTTCTGACAGGTGAATCTTGAAACTTCTCTCATTTAGGAATCCAGATGGTGATGACAAACCCTGGTGCTTTGTCACTGTGAATAACAAATTGAAGTGGGATTTCTGTGATGTCCCCCCATGCTTGTCAACAGGTAAAATAAATAATAATAACACGGTGTATATTCAGTGTAACATTAATTTAGTATGGCATTAATTTAGATTGGCAATCACTGTAGATTTTGTGTCATCCATCTACTTCAAGAGCACAGCTCACATGATGCCCAATGACTTTAAAGATACTGGATGATTTCTCATTTGCAGAGCATCAAAAAGTATACCAAATAAGCAAAGTATCTTGAGATGTCTACTACCAACAGATATTAAAGAAGATGACACATAAAACAAGAAAGAAGAAAATAAATGAATTACAGAATGGAGAAAAAAATATTCTGCATGATTCTTAGAATGCAATTAAGGAAACTTTCTTTGATTATTTGATGCTGTAGTCCTTTTCTTCACAGAAGTGAAACAGAATATTTTAAAGAATATTTTAAGAATATAGGAAGAAGAAATTATTTCCCTTTGTGCCAAATCAAGTATACACCAGAATATGTTGAAATCTATTGTAGTAGAACTAATAGAGCTTCTGAAAAAAATCCAGATGACAGCTATAGATAAAAAGGCTTTAACTAATTCTACTAAAAGTCTTGTTGTCTTTAACTAGGAAAAATGGTACATCACAGGGCAACAATTTATTAACCAGGTTGGTCCAAATGGTCTGAATTATAGAATGTGTCCAAAATCCAGGACTGTGCTATTGCTGTGGTCACAAAATCTTCATTTTTAACATTATTTTTACTCTAGAAAGAGTACAGAGAAGAACAACAAAGATGATTAGGGGACTGGAGGCTAAAGCATATAAGGAACAGTTGCTGGAATTGGGTATGTCTAGTTTAATGAAGAGAAGGAAGAAGGGGGATATGATAGCAGTGTTCCAATATCTCAGGGCTGCCACAAAGAAGAGGGAGTCAAGCTATTCTCCAAGGTGCCTGAAGGCAGGACAAGAAGCAACAGATGGAAACTGATCAAGGAGAAAAGCAGAACTAAGGAGAAACTTCCTAACAGTTAGAACAATTAACCAATGGAACAACTTGCCTCCAGAATGGGTGAATGCTCCAACACTGGAAGTTTTTAAGAAGAGATTGGACAGCCATTTGTACGAAGTGGTGTAGGGTTCCTGCCTGAGCAGGGGGTTGGACTCGATGACCTCCAAAGTCCCTTCCAACTTTATTATTATTATTATTATTATTATTATTATTATTATTATTATTATTATTATTATTATCGATCATTGCACAGTCAGCCAGATGTTCAGACTGGATTTGGCATTTTGTCTACCTATCGAGTCCTTACCCAGGACCTGGGATAGGCAGATGTGGATGTTGGATGGTATTACAGATATCGTCGCAGGATGGAAGCAGTTCCTAATAAGGCTGCCTTTTGCAATTGACTAATAGCGAATTTGTCAATGCCAATGGTGTTCAAGTGTTGCTCCAGTTGTTTTGGGATTGCACCCAAGGAGCCTATGACTATTGGTACTACCCTTGCTTGCTTTTGCCACAGTCTTTCTATTTCTATTTGTAGGTATTTGTATTTTGTTATCTTCTCCAGTTCTTTCTCTTCTATTCTGCTATCTCCAGGCACTGCCACGCCCACTATCCAGACTTTTTTGTCTTTCTTATCGACAATTGTTAAGTCTGGGGTGTTATGTTGCAGGTGCTTGTCTGTTTGAATTCTGAAGTCCCAGAGCAGTTTAATTTTATCATTTTCTATGACTCTCTCTATTTTATGATCCCACCAGTTTTTGCTTACAGGCAAATGATATTTTTTGCAGATCTTCCAATGCACCATTGTTGCTACTTTGTCATGCTGCTGCTTGTAATCAGTCTGTGCAATCTTCTTGCAAAAGCTTACCAAGTGGTCCACTGTTTCTTCAGCTTCTTTGCATAGGCGGCACTTACTGTCTGTTGCTGTCTTCTCAATTTTGACTTTGTATGCATTTGTCCTTAAGGCTTGGTCTTGTGCAGCCAGAATTAGTCCCTCGGTCTCTTTATTCAATTTTCCTGCTCTTAGCCATTGCCAGGTTTTATTGTTATCTGCTTTCCCAGCTATTTTTTTCATGTATTGGCCATGTAGTGCTTTGTCTTCCCATGCCTCTATTCTGTTCTTCATTTGGTCTTTCTTGTAGGCCAGTTGGTCTCTCCAGTAGTTAGTAAGCCTTCCTGATATACTAATTTCAGTGCATCTTCATCATTGTTCTTCAGATATTCTTCCAAAGCCATTTTTTCTTCTTCAACCATCTGATGTACTTGTAGCATTCCACGCCCACTATTTGCCTTGGTAGATAAAGTCTATCAATGTCACTGTGTGGATGAAGGGCATGATTCATTGTCATTATTTTTCTGGTCTGCCTATCCATTGCTTTTAGTTCTGCTTGAGTCCAGTCCACTATTCCAGCTGTGTACCTAATGACTGGAATTGCCCAGGTATTGATCGCCTTTATGGTATTTCCTCCATTGAATTTGGACTTTAAGATCAACTCTCTTGATGTATTCACCTCTAATCTTTTTCTTGACTTCAGTGTGCTTGATGTTGTCAGCTTGAAGGATACCCAAGTATTTATTTTATTTTATTTATTTATTTTAATTGATTTATATGCCGCCCAATCCCAAAGGACTCAGGGCGGCATACAAAATTAAAACAATCATCGAGAATAAAACAATAAAATAATTCAATCATACCGCAAGTCTGATCATGTCCCGGCCTCCCCCGGGGACATCAGCCCCAGGCCTGCCGGAACAGGAGAGTTTTAACGGCTTTCTTAAAGGCTGGCAGGGTGGGAATTGTTCGAACCTCGGGGGGAAGTTGATTCCACCAGGTTGGACCCACCACAGAAAAGGCCCTTCCCCGAGGGCCCGCCAGCCGACATTGTCTGGCCGACGGGACCTGAAGGAGGCCCAATCTATGGGACCTCACCGGTCTCTGGGAACTGTGCGGCAGTATGCGGTCCTGTAAGTAACCTGGCCCTATGCCATGAAGGGCTTTAAATATGATAACCAACACCTTGAATTGCGTCCGGAGACCCACAGGAAGCCAGTGTAGCTCGCGGAGGATAGGTGACACGTGGGCGTACCTTGGCGCGCCCACAATCACTCTCGCAGCTGCATTCTGAACCAACTGCAGCCTCTGAACACTCTTCAAGGGTAGCCCCATGTAGAGCGCATTACAGTAATCTAGTCTTGAGGTGACGAGGGCATGAGTGACTGTGAGTAAAGCCTCTCGGTCCAGATAAGGCTGCAACTTATCTGGTGCACCAGATGCACCAGGTGCAACTGGTGCACCAGGCGAACCTGGGCAAAGGTCCCCCTGGCCACAGCCGATAGATGTTGTTCCAAATTTAGCTGTGAGTCCAGGAGGACACCCAAATTGTGTGCCTGCACTGAGGGAGGTAAATTTGCCCCCCCCCAGGACTAATGATGGACCATCCAGTTGACCTTTGGGAGGCAAGACCCAGAACCACTCGGTCTTGTCAGGGTTGAGTCTAAGCCTGTTCACCCCCATCCAGACCCTCACATCTTCCAGGCACCGGCACATCACATCGACTGCTTCACTGAAAGGACACGGGGTGGAGATATATAATTGGGTATCATCCGCGTACTGATGATACCTCACCCCGTGTCGCTGAATGATCTCACCCAGCGGTTTCATGTAGATGTTAAAAAGGCGGGGGGACAGGACCGAGCCCTGAGGCACCCCATGATCGAGGCGCCTAGGGGTCGATCTCTGTCCACCCGCCACCACCGACTGCGACCTGTCAGAGAGGTAGGAGGAGAACCACCGCAATACGGTGCCGCCCACCCCCACCTCTCCGAGATGACGCAGAAGGATACCATGGTCGATGGTATCGAAAGCTGCTGAGAGGTCAAGAAGCACCAGGATAGAGGAGTGACCCCTATCCCGGGCTCGCCAGAGGTCATTGGTCAGTGCGACCAAAGCAGAAATCTGTAGTAATCTTCCTCATCCAGACTCTTAATGTTATTTTCATGGGGCATCTTGATTCCTTTAGTTTTCACTATTTTTCCTTGTTTGATAGTAAGTGTGGCACATTTGTCCAAGCCAAACTCCATTACAATATCTTGGCTATATATACGGACAATGTTGAGCAGTGATTCTATTTCAGATGATGTTTTTCCATACAGCTTCAGATCATCCATGTAAAGGAGATGGGATGTTGTTGCATACCTTCCCTAACCCACGCAGCACCATTTGGGCTCACCCAAGAACCATTCCCAATCTAAATTCCCAATCCTATCTGCTGTCTCTGACTGCACAGTACTTTTGCATATTCCCAAAAAACTAAAGGCACCTTTCCCATCACTCTTCCCATGCACCATCCTCAACTACTGAGTACCTCTTACACATTCCCATGGCTCCCACATAGCCTTCTGCACCTGTTCCATCCTTCCATATGTCATAGCACAGCACCTCTCATTCACTTTCAGACACCCTTCTCAATTTATGTCACCCACTCAGATGCCCTCTCTGACCTGCATGGCATAACCTTCCTAACCCATGCAGCACCTCTTGCACAGCCCACATACTATCTGGACCCACCTGGCAGCAGCCATTTACCTGCCTGCTGACTTGCAACTTCCTGTTGGCTTTCCCAACTGACTTTCTTCTCACAAGTTTCCCACAACAAAAGTAAATAGGAAAACTGACAGGAATTCTAGGGCAGAAAAGGGAGAGAGATAGTGAGAGGGGGCCACATTTCAAGCTACAACAAATGGCTCAACTGAACTATGCTTCAGAGCTTCCAGAAAATCCCCGAGATCTACCTCATTCTAGTGGGGAATTAATGTGGAGAAGGAGTGATCTCTCCATGGCAAAGGGCTGATGTTAATGTTTTCCAACCCAGATCACAATACCACTGCTATTAGACAAAGATCAGATCTAATGTGTGATCTCCACAGTGAATTGGATCTTTGAAAAGTTAGATTAGGTCTACAGTTCCCATGATGGCCATGAATTCCTGAGTTATCTCTGGCTCTGGGTCCAAATGTAGCAGATGGAAGTTCTCAAGATACAAATGTGGGAAAATCCTTTACCAAACCAGCCACAGAGTCAAGGAGTTTGGGCAGGAGCTTGCTACATTGGAAAGAGGGAGATAAGCAAATTCAAGCCCAACTGATATCTATGGCCTAGCCTTATTAATAGAATATCAATTCTGCTACAAGATTCCTGCATACATTTTCTGTTCTTTCCCTAATTAAAAATCAGATATTAAGGAAATATTGAAAAACTGGTGAGTTTTAGCTTAATTAGGTCTAGTACGAATATAATATCTCAAGTGTGGTTACTTTCTTTATATTGTAGCAAAGTTCTCTAGGAATATAACAACCTCCTTCAAGAATCCTGCAATAGATAATACATCCAGAACATGTGGGAAAGCAGAAATAATAAGACCATTCAAGAGAATCTATGGAGGTGTCAAGTCAACTCCTGGCAAGCATCCATGGCAAGCTTCTCTTCAGAGGAAGTTTTCAGCGGGTATGCCAAAGGAACATTATTGTGGAGGAGTATTGATTGAGCCATGCTGGGTTCTTACTGCAGCACACTGTATCACGTAAGCATACTTGACAGATTCGGTTAATTTCTTTTTCATTTTCTACAAATGCACAGAAAAAACAAACCTGTTTGGTTCCATCCATCCTGTAAAAGACTCTGAAGTGCACAGTTTTAGGTAGCAGAAATCAATTGGGGAAAATAGCCATGTCAAGTTGGAGAATAAATAGGATTGTGCCATGTCTTTTCATCTCAGAATGTTAAGACGTGGCCTTATTTCTTTTATATAAAATTGTATTCACCATTCCAATGCTAATGCACAATTCATGTCAGCTATATAAAATTCAGGAAGACACCACTTTGTATTTTGCTACTGGGATAATATGCTTGGTCTAGTCTTACCTTTAAGCTCTATTACTTTATAATTTGGCAATGTGTAGACCTATATTTTATAATGGTTTTGCTATTATATCGGAGGATACACTCTTCTTAGTATGGGTTAATCTATTAGAAACAATTTGTATGATGATGAATTCAGATGAAATTGGTGCAGTTCTCTATAACTTATTAAGTGTCCCACAGATCTATAATTATGACTGACTGTTCTTTGAGACTGACTGTTCTGTTTTCTTTCATAGAACAGAAGCACACAACCTCCAGGTGTCCCTTGGAGAACAGAATCTCAATAGGAAAGAGGCTCATGAACAGAAGTTTGATGTAGACAAGATCATTAAACATGGACATTATACAGAGCAAGATGGCATCCCATACAATGATATTGGTAAGTTCCTATTTTGTGTCATGGATAAACCCCAATCATTATCACTAGGAACCAAAGAAGGAAACTTTGGCTGAACTGTAAGAACACTGATGCAGGTTAAATATTGAGAAGAAAACATTAAATTATAATGCAATTAAATTACAATTAAGAGAGCTAGCAAATTCATCTCCAAAAGTTTAGAAAATAATATGTGATGTTTATTAAGTATCATCATCATCAATATCATCATCATCATCATCATCATCATCATCATCATCATCATTTTAGCCATTTTCTATCCACTGCAGGATGAAAGCCTTTTCCAACCAATATGGTCCTGAGCTTTCTTTTGCCAACTGGGCGAGCAATACTTGCCGATGTCGTCGATCCATCTTGTTTTAGGTCTCTTTCATGGACACTTTTTATCAAGTGGGATCCATTTTATGACTGCCTTGGTCTACCTGCCATCAGTTTTTCTTGCTATGTGACCAGCCCATTTCCATTGCAATTCTTTTACTTTCTTTACTTGTTTACTTTTGTTTGTTCTCTGATCCATGTTCAGGTCTTTCTATCTTGTCTTGTAATGCCAAGCATGTATTTTTTTTTTATGGCACCACTTGAAAATTGTGCTTAACTTGCCGAATGCCTTCCAACCACATTTAACACGCTGTTCACTTTCCTTTATTATATCACCTACCATTGAGATTTATTGGCCAAGGTGATCTACTAGGTTTAGTTCTTCTACAGATATGATTTTTTTCTTTCTTTGGTGAATTTATTAAACATAACCTGGCTCTTTTTCACATTTATGTTTAAGCCAAATGGTTCTCCTGCTTTGTGCAGTTCTTATATGTGTCTTTGTAGCTCTTCTGGATTTTGTGAGAAGAGAACAACATCATCTTCAAATCTTAAGTGATTTATATAAGTGCCATTGATTTTTATTCCATAATTTGCCCAGTCTAGTTTGTGAAATACTTCTTCAAGGCAGGCTGAGAAAAAGGTAGGTGATATTGTATCACTTTATTGGACACCTTGTTCTATGTTGATTTCCACTTTAAGATCATTAAGGCAAATTGTCACCATTGTTTTTTCATATATTGATTGTAATAGGTTTATGTAAGCAGTCTGCGCCTTGGTTGAACAATGCCTTAGTTATTGCTTGCTGTAATACTGAGTCAAACACCTTATCATAGTCAATGAAAGCCATGCACAGAGACATGGTGTACTCATTGTGCCTTTCAATGACTTGCTGAACAATCTGGATATGAACAATTGCTTTTCTGAAAACAGCCTGCATTTTTCCATGCATCTGGTATTTTTTCTTCTCTGAGGTATCTCCAATACAGTTTGCGAATATCTTGCATAAACTGTGACCACCAGCTTTCAGCATTTCAACCTTAACACAGTCATTTCCATTTATTTTATGGCATTTAATACTTCCTCCACTAAGATATCTGGCAATTCTTCTTTTGTGGGTGTGATTACCTTTGAGTGATTTTGATCTTTGTATACCTTTGAGTAGAACTTTACAATTATTTCTAACATTTCCTGTCTTGTTCTACACACTGAGCCATTTTCATGGTTTAATGCAAAAACCTTCTTTCTTGTATTTATAAGCTTGCATTTTGCTCTGTAAGTCCCTTTGTGTACTATTTTCACAGGCTTCATACTAAACTGACTCATTTCTTCTTGGATATGTTTCTTATGGTCTTGCAAAATTCAACGTACTCCAATTTATTAGTGAAAATTCTGATATTCTTCATTGTCCATCTTTTCTTTATTAAATCAGTAGTTTCATAAAAGATTTTTGACTGTATAAAGTGTTTTTCTGGCAGTGCTATAGATGTAGCAGATTCAAGGATGTTTTTTTTATTATTTGTTCATTTTGGTCCATAATGTTCATCTCTTCCAAATCTTGTAATAGAGCAAAATGATTTGATAGATTAATCTCAAAATCATTTATTTATTTTTGTTTTTCTTTATTTTTGTTTTTCATAACGTCTTTATCATTTTCATACATTCTTTTCAACAGTCTATCTTCACTTTAGTGTGTTCGATTCTATGTCGCTTCCAATGTTAGAACAATTGATGATGGTACAATTGCAGAATATGGTTTTATCACTTGACATGATGTAGTCAATTTCTCTTGTGTACCCAGATGGACTCTTCCATGTCCATTTTCTGCTAGCTTTTTTCTTGTAAAAGTTTCTGTCCTTCAGCAAAATCTACTAAACTGTTGCCTCTATTATCTCGTTCACTACTTACAGTCATACAGAAGTTTAGTATAAATATATTTATTGCTTTTACTGTTTTATTTTTAAACCAAAGTTAGAAGTTAAGTCTAGAGATGACTTTGTTAATTTAAGCATATAAAAACCACTTTAATGAAATAGATTGGAAATATCTAGAAAAAATTAACAAATGCTCAACTCTGACCTAGTGAAATTAGAAGAAATCTCATCAGCAAATTTAAGGCTATGGTGCAATTCACTGGTCATATAATTAACTGTGCCTTAAAATACTGTGTTTTGTTCTCTTTTTACAGCTTTGCTGAAATTAAAGCCAATTGATGGGCACTGTGCTGTGGAAACAAGTTACGTTAAATCAGTGTGCTTGCCTGACTTTACGTTCCCTGATAACACAGAATGTTACATATCAGGCTGGGGAGAAACAGAAACAAGTAAGCCATGGCAATGGGAGCAATTGAGTCTAACATACGGACAGGATTTGTACTGAGATTTGTTAGCTCTGCACAAATTACTCCACCATGATATTCTCTATGAACAAAGGTTCCCTCTGCATTTTCACCTATAAGCTCCAAAATAACTGCAGTCACTTGAAGTTCCAGAAAGCTGCTTTGATGTTGTCCAGTAGCCATCTGGAGTGCTGCAATCTGGTGTTTTCCATCTTCTCCCAACTTTCTTTCCTGTCTTCTCCTACTGCTGCCCAAGGTTTACTGGACCCATCAGGTTGTGCTGAGATGCTGCTACTTGTATGATGACAATTGTGCTATACCTTCTCCTGGGGGTCAGGAGAAGAAAGAAGAGGGTTTCCAGTTCATCACATATGTATGCAGCATAATGAAAACTGGCTCTTTCCTGTCTTCTCTTGACTTCTGGATGTGGGCAGGTTTATTAGTATCAGCAAACGTTCACAAAACAAAGTTCAGTACTAGACTAATGTCTACTTTTGAGTCGTTAATGGACTGTCTGATATAGAACTGAATATGGGTTATAGATGTAACATATAATCTTAGCACAAGGACATTATTAGTGCCCAAAGAAAAGCACAATTCTGTACATGCCTGACAATTATTGATGTAATGAATCAATGAATCATTTGACTTAATTTGTCCTATTTTTTTATCTCAGAAGTTTAACTGGTTAGAAATTTTAATGTCTTATTGACCTAATAAAATATATCACTTCAAATACAATAACTATCCTTTTAAAATGTTAAGCAAAGCCATGTTAGATTTTGAGTAACCCAGTTGTTAAGTGAATCTGCCTTCCCCATTTCTTTGCTTGTCTGAAGGTCACAAAAGATGATCACATGACCTTGGAACTTCAATGGGCATAAATGTGAACCAGCTGCCAAGCATCTGAATTTTAGTCACATGAGCATGGGGAAGCTGCAAAGTTGTAACTGGGAAAAACGGTCCTAAGTCACATTTTTCAGTGCCGTTGTAACTTTGAACAATCACTAAATAAAATGCATATACGTGCATATGCATCTTTCTCTTTCTTTCTTTTTCTTTCTTTTCTTTCTTTCTTTCTTTCTTTCTTTCTTTCTTTCTTTCTTTCTTTCTTTCTTTCTTTCTTTCTTTCTTCTGTAACATTAGTTAAATTCAGTATTTTTACCAGTTGTTTTTTGGGCCCAGTCACACATCTGAAGATGGGAAATAAAGAGTGTTTTTATATTTCTGGCCTTCATCCTATAGGTGAATCATCTCATCAACTATTAGATGCCAAAGTAAAACTGATTTCCCAAAGGCAGTGTAATGCACCAAATGCGTATAATAGCAGAGTGGCAGAAAGCATGTTTTGTGCTGGAAGTCTTCAGAGAACAAGAGCAGATACTTGTCAGGTTTGTTGCTTTTTGCTATCTGAACACTAATTTCTCTTCAGACAAAATGTAAATAGTCTATATAAGGCAATGACTGGCAAGGTGCTGGACATGTATCTACTCCTTATATCAGATAGCATTCCCCAATGTTCTTCCTTAATCCAAAGGTATATACAGGTAAGTCCTCAACTTACAAAAGTTCATCTAGTGACCTTTCAAAGTTTTTTACATTTACGACCATTGTAGCATCCCCAAGGTTATGGGATCAAAATTCAAATGCTTGGCAACTGGCTTTCCCAAGGTCACATGATCACCTTTTGTAACCTTCCAACAAGCAAACTCAATGGGGAAGCCAGATTCGCTTAACTAACTTAGCAATTGCAGTGACTTACTTAACAACTATGGCAAGAAAGGTCGTACAATGGGGCAAAACTCACTTAAATGTCTCTCTTAGCAACAGAAATCTTGGGCTCAATTGTAGTGGTAAGGTGAGCACCTACTTATACTTGACTGCTTGTTATTTTATAGTTGATGGCTGATTCTAAAAGGCTAACTCTTTCATATTTTTATTGTCAATTCTGAGGCCAGTTGTCAAATCTTCTTTATATTTAATCTTAGTCCCAGATAACCTTCTAAATCTAAATTGATACTTTGCTTTTAAAAACATCCTTTTTTTAACCTAGTGATTTACACTTCAGAAAAAAAGTCATAAACTTATTTAATCCAAGAATCTATTTTCTCATCCCTGCCATTAATATATTGAAAAAAATTAAATTCATCAGAATTAAGTATAAAATGTTAATGTTAATTATTTTTTGTTATTGTCAATGTTAACTGCCTTTTTTAATCTTGTCATTAGGGCGATTCAGGAGGTCCTTTAACATGTGTTACCAATGGAACTTACTATATTTATGGAATTGTGAGCTGGGGAGATCAGTGTGGATTAAAAAATAAACCAGGAGTTTATACACGGGTGACAAGATTTCTCAACTGGATCAGAACAAAAATTAAACACGAGTCTAATTTTCACAACTAAGAATGGTAGTCATGAAGGTGGGAAGAATGGTAGTTCAAGTAATTCATCCTTTGAAAAAATTCATCCTTTTCTCTCTTCTATTTTAGCATTTAAGTATTTTGACCCAAATTTCTATCCAGAAATGTAAATTCTAATACCTTACTAGTATTTTGACTAGAATTCACTTGCTTATATACCGGCCAAGTAACTGTGCAATCCTTTGCTTAAAATAATGTACAAAATTTATCTTTTTTTGTTATATTTTTATCATTTGAGATATTAAGGCTATAAAACACGATCATAACCTTCATAATTAAAACTAGCTGTGTTGAGAATTCTTTGCCCAGAAGACCTCAGTCTGTTTAATGGGGAAGTTCACATTTATATTCAGAAACCAGGAGGTATGCTGTCTATTTGGACAGCATAGCTCCTGCTTTGTGAATGTACATTCTAAGTTCCCCATTAAACAGACTGAGGTCTTCTGGGCAAACAATTCTCAATGTTATATGAATTCATACATCATTTGACTCAGAAGAATGTATTTATATTTGCTTGCAATTCCCCAGAATTTCCTTTTCATTCATTTCTACAAACATTGATTGGATGGCAATAAACCTCCAATATCTTCAGGCCAGCTGAAGATCAAGTGATATGTTATGCTTTTATGTAGTGAACATCTTACAGTAAAGGAAGATATGGAATCTTGTTTTAAACAGACTTCTGCACAGATGGGAGATTAAACTTTTTCCTCTAGCCACTGCATTTCTAATCTTTTCTATCCTTTACTCAGGATTTTTTTTTTTTTTTTTAAAAAGGAGGCAAAAGTGCCCACTGGCATGAATTAATTTAGCCACATAGGAATTCAAAAAATGTACATCATTAACAAATCAACAAAATAACTGTAGACTTTTTGGAAAGTGATTCCACTAATTTATTTTCAGTACAAATATATATATTTTTACTTTCAGCAAATCATGATTCAAATATTTTTAGTACAAAGCTGAGCCTGCCAGTCATCTAGTACTAATCTAATTTGCTGTCATAAATACTACATTGTATAATACATAGCTTAAAAAGTCAGGTGCGGTTTTTCATGCAAAATATAAAGTTTACGGTAATATTAAACCACTCCTCTAGGGTTAAAAAGGTCTTTTTTTTGTAATAACTATTTCTGAACGGTGCATTACTCTCTTTCTCAGGAGATTACAATAGCTACATGATTTGGAGAGCAAGCTAAAAAATATATGCATTTTAATTAGACAGATGTCAGTGTTTCTGCTCATTTCTTAATTAGTTTCATTTTTCTTCTCTTCATTTGCAGAACTTCTGCTGCATCAGGATTCAATTGGACTTGTTGGGCTCCTTCTGTTATTTTTTCCTGCAATCACAATAGATTCAGAATATTATCTCCTCACAAAGACTATTGTGTCATTCCATTTTTAACAATTATACTGAACAATATATCATATTCTAAGTAGAAGAAATAATATCCCAAAGCTGCCTTTCTAGGTTGGGTACTTTGACTGTATAAAACTGCTTATAATGGATTTATAGCTTGGTTATTTCAAATTTCTTCCAATGATAACCCACAGATCTTTATGACTGCAATAAAGATTTTCAAGTAGTGGTTTAGATCCAAACCAGCTGAAATGCTGAGATGTTCACAGACCTATGGTATATGTTCAGCTGTCTTTTTTTCCAATTATAGTTTAGGGGATGACCCAAATGCATATTGGAATAAGACTTGGTCCTAACAGATCCAACGCATCTGTGCTACCCAAATATGATTACCTGCATCAGAATATTTCACCATAACTCTACCAAAAGCTCATGAAACTAATTTTCCTTTTGCTGGAATAAAAGGAACTGTATTCCATGGCCATTCACCTTCCTATTGTGGCTCTGTAGTAGAGGCTGGACTATCCAATACAATATTTAGTGTGCTTGATTTCTAAAATTTATAACAAATTTTCAGCTGAAAAATTAACATGGTAAAAGCTAGCAAATTAGTATTTTTTTCCCTCACTCGTGCTTAGGCTACCCATTCATTCACTTACATAATCTCGATCATATTGATCCTGAGTTTCTTGCGTTTCTGTTTCCTGGGCATATGCCAGCTCTGCAGCCCTTCTGGCCATTTCCACTCTGTAAGAACCTGGAGGAGTCCAGCCAATACCCTTGATCCAATTCAAATCAGATTTGTATTTGACCTAGAAAATAAAATACAGTACTAACTGCATGTATCTTCCATGACTACAATACTTAAATCAAATGAAGCACAACATATATTTACTAAAGGCCTAGAAAAGAATATGGCGACCCCAGGAAGCAGTAGCTGATAGGCAAGGACAAGTGAAGGAGTAACACAAACTATTCTGTGCCACCTTAGTTGTTCTCCTAAATTAGGTGCTACGGAGTCCTCCCATCTTAAAATTTTAAGATAAAATTGGTCTTATATACAGAATAGGAAGACAGATCGTTCTTTGCCTCAGCTACTGAAAACACTTGAGTTTCTTCTCATAGCAAACATGATTTGTAAATATTATATAATACAAACATTATATAATACAAGAAAATAGTTGCCAAGCCAGAAGAAATAGGGGCGTTGTCTTACCTGAACGCCTTTTCTCAGCATGATGATGGAGAATCCACGGATGGGTTGTCTTAATCTATCTGCTCCAATTAGACTAAGTCTGAAATTTAGTACCGCCCCCTCTGTGCCAACTGCACCCCAGTTTTAGGCTAAGGCGATACCCAGACTTTAGTCCGACGCGTCTGAACAAATGGGGACCAGGCCAACTGACCTAATGGGAGGGAGTGGATTCTCCATCATCATGCTGAGAAAAGGCGTTCAGGTAAGACAACGCCCCTTTCTCCAGCATGATTGGATGGAGAACCCACGGATGGGACATACCAAAGCCCTGTGTCCCTAGGGTGGGGAATTAGATTGGGCCTGGTTCCCACCCAATGTTAATGCGTGTTCTAGGACCCTGCGGCCAAATGAAGCCGTAGAAGATGCATATATATCCCTCTTGTAGTGACAGACAAAGGAAGAGGGCGATGCCCATGTTGCTGCTCTACAAATTCCCTCTACAGAGGCCTGAGTAGACGAGGCAGCTGTAGTAGCTGCCCCCCGGTGGAATGGGCCGTGATATGCCTGGGATCTCGCAGTGACTGAGACTGGTATGCCAGAGAAATACAAACTCTAATCCACCTGCGTATTGTGGTTGAAGAAACCTTCTGACCTAGTGATGAAGGGTGATAGTACACAAACAGAGCCTCTGTTCTGTGGAAAGATGAGGTTCTCTGTATATAACAATATAAGCCCTGCGCACATCCGATTTGTTCCACTGAACCTCTATCTCATTAGATGGGTTAGGACAGAAGTCCGGCAAAACTATTTCCTGAGATTTAGGATACAAGGACTTGACCTTAGGCATGAAGGAGGGGCCTAGCCTAAGGGTTACCCTGTCCTTATGGAATGTACACAGGTCCTTCCTCACTGAAGAGTAGCCAGTTCAGATATCCTTCTCGCTGAAGTTACAGCAACAAGAAATGCCACCTTCATCGATAACTGTTTAAACAAACCAGTGTCAATAGTTCAAAGGGTGCGAAACAAGAACCTATAAACCTGATGAAGATCCCACGAGGGGTATCTATGTACAGTTGATGGTCTGACGTTGTTAGCTCCTTTTAGGAAGGAGCGTATCATAGGGTAATGTGTTAAGGATTCATTGCCACAGGAAATAACTGTGGCAAGTGCTGCTACCTGCCTGCGGATGGTGCTTGTGGAAAGCCCTTTGTCTAGACCATCCCTCAGGAACTCCAAGATAACTGGCATTGAAACCGCCAAAAGGTCAATTTTTCGAACTGAACACCAATTACAGGAGTCTCTCCATGTGGCATCGTATATTCTATTCGTCGAGGGTCACCTAGATTGCTGAATCATAGCTATGACCCTTGACGAATATGAGTCTCAGCCTAAGGCCTGCCTCTCAAGTGCCAGACGGTTAACTGGAGTCATTGAGGGTCTGGATGGCGTAGTTCCCCCTGAATGTGGGAGATGCGATTTGCTGGGATCCTCCATGGAGGTGATACGGAGAGCTCCATCAGGTCGGCGACCAAGAGCGTCTCGGCCAATGCGGCGCAACCAGGAGGACCTCTGCTCGTTCGCGAAGGATCTTCCTGATCGTGGCAGGAAGAAACGGCAGAGGAGGGAAGGCACAGAGCAGTTCCCTGGGCCAGGGACTGCGGAGTGCATCTGTTCCCTCTGCTGATGGAGGTGGGAACCCAGAAAGGAATCTGGGAAGTTGTGAGTTGGTGGGGGAGGCAAAAGGTCTAAGGTTGGGGAACCAAACCTGTCCACGATCTCTCTGAACACCTTCGGATCCAGCTGCCATTCAGAATGATCCACGGTTGCTCTGCTCAGTGAGTCCGCCTGCTGGTTGGTCACTCCGGATATGTACTCCACCCTGATGGAGGGAAGATTCAGTTCCGCCCAGGACCCCAGCAATTTGGCCTCCTGCATGAGAGGCCTGGACCTTGTCCCCCCTTGTCTGTTGACATGGCCTTGGCTGTAATGTTGTAGGTTAAAATCAGGACATGTTGGCCCTGTACTATATCGGTGAATCTCTTTAGGGCCATATGTATGGCTCTGAGTTCCAGCCAGTCTATATTGTTCCTTAGGTCCTGTTTGGACCACCGACCTTGAGCCCAGTGCGTGTGAAGGTGTGCCCCCACCCAAACAGGCTTGCATCTGTGGTAATGGTAATCCTGTCTGGTTCTAATACTGCTCCCCGTGACAGCGCCGGGGAGTCCCACCATTGAAGGGAGTTCAAGTCTCTGAAATGGAAGGAGAAGCCATGTAATTCTCTGGCATGGAGGTATGCCCATGGCACAATTTGCACGCAGGACACCGTCTTCCCCAGTAGCTGTGATACGGAGGCCAATGTGATTACTCTGGCCCTTAGGATCCGACATACAAGAGTCTGAATAGAGTTCCTTCGGTCCTGAGATAGGTAGACCGTACAATTGTCCGTGTCTATAACAGCGCCCAAATGGAGGAGCCGGGTTGTTGTATGACTTTTCTGGAAATTAACAGAAAACCCGTGCTCCTGAAAGACCTTGATGGCTAGGGCGAGGTCTGACTGAGCGTTTCGGAATGATGATGACTGAATTAGTATGTCATCTAAATAGCATTGAATTCTGATTGGAATTTGTCTAAGGTGGGCTGCGAGCACTGCCAGTACCTTGTAAATACCTTCGGTGTCGATGAGAGGCCAAATGGTAGGGCTCTGTACTGGTAATGGGCATAGCTGAATCTGAGGAATTTGCGGTGGTTAGGAAACATGTCTCAGTTAGGTCTATTGAGGTAAGAAAGTCACCTTGCCTGATGCTGGCCAGGATTGATTGAAGTGGTTGCATCTTAAACTTCTTATACCTCAAGTAAGATTTAGACCTTTCAAGTCTAAGATTGCCCTCCAGCCCCCCAAGTCTTAGGGATGACGATGAGGTTTGAGTAAAACCTTCGTCCTTCTTGGTCTTGTGTACTGGTTCAATTGCTCGTATTTGTAATAAATGAGCTATGGCATCTGACATAAAGTCAGCCCTGGACCTGCTCGTTGGGATAGGGCAAGAGCGGAATTGTCAGGTGGTTGAGAACAATTTCTAGTCTCAAACCCTGTTGACAGTGTCTAACACCCATGCATCTGTAGTGATGGCTGTCCAAGTGCTGGAATAAGGGACCAGCCGGCATCTGTAGTGGTGACTGCCCAAGTGCTGGAATAAGGGGCCAGCTGGCTTCCTATGGGAAGTGAGACTGTGAGGTCACTTGCCTCGTTCAGAGGAACGGCCCCTCGGTCTTGAAGGGGCCGCTTGGCCTGGATCTGTGGTCTGCTTCTGCATGCTGAACGATCCTGCTGTCGTTCTTGTCTCTGAAAGGAATAGAGGGATGCCTGGGCCCAGTCCCAGGATGGAGCTGGTCGAAAGGCAGCCTCCTGTAACTGCTCTGTGACATGAGTTAACCAGAGTTTTACGTTTGTCCTTACCTTCATTTAAGTATGGTCCTAGTGCCTTACCAAAGAGATGTCCACCTGTGTAAGGTTTAGAGGCCAGACGCCACTTGGTCTTGGTGTCTGCTCGCCAATTCCTGGGCCAAAGGAACCTTCGTGCTGAGATGTCTGCAGCGATGGTCTGGCAGTGTATCTAGCCATGTGCAGAGAAGCGTCGGCTAGGTACTGGGATGTAGCCACTAACTTACCCAGATTTTGGTGAGCTCTGAGCTGGTCTGGAGGGATCCTGTCCTGGAGCTCACGTAACCCAGGGGCTGAAGCCCTAGCGAAGAAGGCCATGGACGTTGCCGCCCTTGTTGCCCAGGCTGATGCCAGATGGGAACTACGCAATGCGGAGTCAATCTTTTTATCCTCCGCCCTAAGTGCCTCATTTATGTCCCCAGGGATGTTAACATTGGGAGACAATGAGTTCAAGGCTCATCAATCTCAGGAATCTCCAATAGGGAGGCCAGGGAACGGGCAACATTGAATAATGTTCTCTCTACTGCACCGGGGCTTAAGAAGGATCCTAAGTTCTCCCATTGTTCTTGAACTATATTCAGAAAAAGGGGAGGGCAGGGAATATTGTTCTGCGAGACTGAGGGCTTGGTGTATATGGCGTGGGGACCCCTGGAGGTGGGGTCTCCTGTTCTTGGGGGAGGTTTGCACTAGTGCAGGCCCTGAGTAGCAGGGAATTAAAGAATGAATGGTCAAAGAGACCGACAGGAGGGGTGGGGTCAGAGGGAGTGATGCCCTCGTCCTCAAACAAAATCAGGCCAGATTGTTCAGCCCCTGTAGATTCCAAATCCGATGAGGGATCCTCCATCAAATCTGGAGATTGTAGATGATACGTGGCCTGGGGGGGGTGTCTGTGGTGTTGGAGGTCATAAATTGAGCCACAGCCTGGGCTATCATGGACTGGAGGAGGTTTGGGTTCAGGGCCTGGTTCTCAGGAGGGCGAAGTCCTACTGCAGTGGGAGTGAATGTGGCCTGG